CCGGCCGCGCCATCAGAGGGACGCGCCGCTGCGAGATGGGGGCCCGCGGTGACGGAGGCCAGGCGCGAGGCGGCGGCGGCGGCGGCGGCGGCGGCGGCGGCGGCGGCGGCGGCGGCGGGTCTCGGTGAGCGGCGGCGGGAGGAGGAGCGGCGGCGGCGGGAGGAGGAGCAGCGGCGGCGCTCGCTCGCTGTTGACGGGAGCGCTTTTGAGTCTGGGAGCCCATGCCACTGCGACCGGCGTGCCCGGGAACGGAGATCGCGCGCGCGCCGCCACTCACGACGCGCGCGCGATCTTCGCGGAGTCGGGTCCCCAGAGGGAAGCGGTCTTCTCGGCCGACGTCCAGCGGCGCGCAAGGAAGCAGGCGCAGCGGAGGCGGCCTAGCACCGGCTCGGCGCCGGGCGGTTGCGCTGCCCGCGAGCCGCGTCCTGAGCCTCGGCAGCGCGCTGCGCGGCGCGGCGCTCGCGCTGCTTCTGTGCCGAGAGCGGCATGATGTCTCGCCAGCGGAAGCTCGAGACTCCTCGGGTCCGCGAGTTGCACGATTTGCGCACTTGAGGGGAAATTGGCGTAAGCGTCTGAAAGCAGTCTTGGGTGGTAAGAGCTCTTTTTCACCAACACACCAACCAACCTTCTAGCTTTAGCGCAACACTACAGGGACCCGTCCATCATCGAGGCGGCCGCCTCCTCCGCCTCGCGCTCCATCTCGGTCGACGCAAGGATGCGGTCAGCGATCGGCCTCACGACGTCAGGCGAGCCGGGCAGCGAGCGGCGGCCCGCCTCGCACGCGCGCGTGAGGGCCGGCTCGATCGGCACGCGGCCGAGGAAGGGGACGCCGAAGCTGGCCGCCATGGCCTCCGCGCCGCCTCGGGCGGCGGGGAAGACGTCCACGTGCGCCGACAGCTCGAGCAGCTCGGGGCACCGCTCGGCGAGCAGGGCGAGCGCCGGGCCGGTCGCGTCGGCGCCGTCGGCGTCGCGCAGCGTGAGCGAGCGCAGCGGGACGGCCAGGCCGCTCATGTTCTCGACCACGCCGAGGACGCGGAGCTGCGTCTTTGCGCAGAAGGAGAGCTCCTTGCGCACGTCG